AAGGTGGAAGCTGGAGACAAGTTATTGATGTTCTGGTGTAATGTCTCCAGGGCATCTTTTCCATGTAACCAAATAATGAAAATGTCATCTAGGTGTCTCAGACAGAGTAACAGTTTTGGGGCACAACAACTAAGAAACCATTGTTCCAGGTTTGCATATTGTGAGGCCCCTATAGGTAATCCATGGCTGTTCCATTAATCTGGAGACAGAGGTTGTTGTCAGAGATGTACTAGCAGCTAGATGGGCTGTGTCCTCATTCAGAATAGCATTCCTGATAACTATGGTCCATTCTTGAGTAGAATGTTGGTGTAAAGGGCTTCTTCATCCGTAATGGCTAGAATTGTATTGTCAGAGATGTTTTGAGTGGACTGCCATTTCCTTCTTTGAGCCATAGTCTATGGAAAAAGTTCTCCAGATGTGGGGCAAAGTGACACTTCTGCTTGGCTTAGTGCTTGGCTGGATAGATGCAATATTGTGTAAGTGCAATTTCATTCTCAATTTTTCCTTCTTTATTAAATAAGGAGTGTTGATTAGATGGCTCAGTAATTTTAGAAGAGAGTGTTGCATGATCTTTCCCTGTCTTTAGTGGATATGCAAACCATAAACAATTTCTCACACTTAGTCTCTTGGAAGATATATTGTTTGCATTTGCTAACAAATATTGTGTCCATTTATACTGTGCAAGTTTGTGAGGTTGATGGATGTCCACTCAATTTGACTGAATCCAGTGCCTTTCATAGTTCTAGTTTTCAAGTATGTGCAAGCATAACCAAGAAAAAATAAAAATAAAAGTAATAAACATGTTCTATTTTTCTTTCATTATGTTAAATAGTTTTAAATTTTAAAATGTTTTTGTTTACTGTATTATGTCAGGAAATCTCTAGATGTAGGGTAGGATAGAAATATTTTAGTGAGTGAGTGGATGAATAAGTGAATGATTAAATAAAATGAGGGTCAGCACTGATATTTGCTCTGAATTATTAAAAGCTTTGCATTATTTTCATTTGAGACTTTAGAAGCTTATGAAATAGTAAATTTTGATTACTCATACGTAACTCATAATAAGTAGCTCAAGTGACATTATGACTTCATGCTTCCTGAACTGACTAGTAGAATTGTCAAATGTTTCTCTTTTTCCCCCTTTATGTAGCGGTTAAGGACAGAGAGAGATTCCTTAAAAGAAACAATTGAAGAGATTCGATGTGTGCAAGCACAAGAGGGACAGCTTACTACTTCAGGTAAAGAAAATGAATGGACAGTATGATTTTTTTTCTTTTAAAATCCCCCCCAAAAAACCCTCTGAAAATTGAATATTTGAAAAACAAGTCCTCCTGGTATTTGAAGAAATGGAATAGTATGCCTATCCAGAAACAGATTCTAATTATTATGTTTTCTGTTCTGTGTTGTGTTTCTTACTTTTTAATTACACCTCCATTACTTTTTGGACTTTTGGATCATTTTTGTTGTCATAAATAAATATTTTAATTCTCCCTGAAAGAGCTAATTCAATTTATGTTCCGAGAGATGGAGCTAGATTCCTTACTTATCAAAGAATAAATTCATAGACGGACTTCAGATAAAACTGCAAACATTGTTTCTTAGGGGGACTGTCTTTTGAAGTGAGTAACAGGGTTAACCAAAGGCTAGCTATTTCTGAAAGGGTTTGCTATCTCATAGTGTCACAAAAATAATATTTTTATAAACTTTTTCTTATAAAAGAAAAAGTTTATAAAAAAACTTTTTAATAAACTTTTTTCTTTTATAAACTTATTAAAAAGTTTATAAAGGTTTTATAAACTTTTTCTCTATAGTGGTTTGCTTCTTCAGTTCTAGAACATGTAACAAACAAAATAGGTCATGAAGTATATTATTTTGAATTACAGCCATGTTGCTAATGTATCAACTTTAAGCTGTATTCTGGCAGATTGCTAACACAAATCTATGGCTGATATCCTGTTGCATAACTTAAACCTACAGAAACATGATATGTTACAGTCAAGGAGTATTTTTCAATAATTAAAACCTTACTACTTCTATCTCACATCTTTTAAAATTCTCATGTATTCCATTTCATTGCATTGAAGCCATGGGAGCTGCAGGACAGAAGAAGAGGTCTTTAATAACCAAAAATTGCCACTAGCAGATTACGTTACTGGTCCAGCCAGATTTTCTGTGAATAAAGATATCCTTCCGTTCTCTGGCTTACATGGATTCAGTGCAATAAAAGGGATTGCTCAGGAGTCAGAAAAGCAGAGGGACTGAAGTAGGAAGTTCTTATTATTGAAAATCGTGCCATGCTTGTGATGTCATCATACCCCTGCAGGTGTAAATTGCACAACAGGATCTCAGCCTATACATGTCATGTATACACATAGAGGCCAGAACTTTGTTGCTCTATCCACATAGTTCTACACAATTTCCACCTTGCACAAAGTAGCTTTTCAGGTACGGGTGAATGTCAGAGTGAACAAGTTAACCAACCTGGGTTGTAGTTTTCACTTATAGGACCATAGTAAATTGAGATGAATTTTGGTCACTTTATATGGGGTCTCAGTTCAGTTTCCGAAGTTTTCTGACATTTTCATCTCTTTCTAGCTTGAGAATTAGTGTGTATGTCTACAGTCACCCAGTTTCTAATGCTTACTATAACCAGCCTGTAATTTTATTACAGAATTCTTAAGTGGCAGCTTAACATCCTCTACTGGCTTACTAGAGGCTTATGGAGAATGTTATTATTAATAACAGCTTAGATATTGGGAAGTGTTGTGCCTAGAGATGGGCATGAACCGTGGTTCAGCCTGGTTCAGCATGGTGCCCACATAGGTATTCCGTCGGCTTCCCTCCCCCACCTCCTCTGGGTGATCTCCCACTCACTGGCAGCAGTGCACTTCCATCCTCTGGCTCCTCAGGGCGATTTCCCAAACAAAAGCAGCACAGTGGGTTTCCTTGCCCCGCCTCCTCCTCTGAGTGGGTGGCCGCAGGAAGAGGCAGAGGGAAGCATATATCACTGCTGCTGAGTGGGCAATAAGTGTGTGGCACCTGCAGAACACCTGTTCAGGCACCACACCAAACTGGACCAAACCACTGAACTGTGTGGTTCATGCCTCTCTCTAGTTGTGCCATGAAAAGGAGTAAGGAATATTAGAGACTTCTAGTTCTAAATGAAGACAGAGCTAAATTCTGTAAATTGAGAATTTTCCAAATTGCTTATTTGAGTATTCTTCTCTTTAAACAGTGTTTACATTTTACAAAAGTCTTGAATTATTTCATTTATGTCATTGTCTATTTGGTTTACAGATGTTTTGTGTACAAGGGAGCACTTGTTCTAGCATTTTTGTTGTTTTGTCATGTTCCAGTCAAACAGCATTTATATGTCTTTTTGATTGCATGACACAGTGAACATGTTCTTCCATTCCCTCCACTGAAATCCACAGTATTTAAAAGTGTATAATTTAAGCTCCTTCATGCCCTGAATAGCAGCCATATGCTGTCTAACACTTCCTTTTTCACATTCTTTTATATAGGATTGTTGCCACTAGGAGGTCAGGAGTCCTCAGACAGTTTAGCTGCAGAAATTGTTACCCCTGAAATCAAGTAAGTACCCCAAAAGTTTTTGTGCTGGGCATCATTTTATAGATGTAATATCAACACAGTCTACTTTAAAAAAAATAACTCCCGTAATTTTTCAAATCAATTATCTTTATTTCTAGCTAGGACTTTAGACAATAGACTGCTATACGGATAACATTTTCTACTATGATAATACTGATCTGTTTCCCTGGTACGCATAATTGTTTCCCTCTTGATTCTCAAGGGAAAAACTCATTCGTCTTCAACATGAAAACAAGATGCTAAAGCTTAACCAAGAAGGGTCTGATAATGAAAAGATTGCCTTGTTGCAGAGCCTCTTGGATGATGCCAATCTCAGAAAGAATGAACTCGAGACAGAAAACAGGTAGGAAAGGTCTATTTCCCTTTCAAGTGTATTGGGGCCTCGTTCAGACTGTTGGTACTACTTGCCTTCTCCCATGCTACAGGTTTCTTCTGTATCACCTATCATATGCCATGAAAATGATATCTGTTTTTTGTCAATGAATTTCACAGTGTTTCTTTTGATATGTTAGTGGTGTAGTCATGTGGCTGCGGAGCCAGAGGTCTGCTTTCCTCCCTGTGCCTCCTTGACAGGGGCTGGACTTGATGATCCATAGGGACCCTTCCAGCTCTGCAGTTATAAGATTAAGGGGAGACATTTGTATCTCTATAACATCATAAAATGTGAAGAAGAATGATCCAGTGATGAAAACTTTAAATAAGGACATTGTGTCTGCAAGTAGTTAGCAAATACAGTTAGAAGCAATGATAGAACAGCAGTCTCTAAAGGACATGATCACTGCATGATATTTGTGTGTTGCCTTCAAATGCTGCTGTGGTGTATGTGGGTAAACAGTATGTGTATAAAACACGTGTATTTTTACTAGGAGGTGCAGACCTAAACCTAGGCAAATGCAAAAAGATCTATAATTGAAGTATAAGTTGAATGTAGAAGGTCTGTAATCCCCTTTCTGGGTTCCCTGTGTTTTCAAAGCCAGCACTTTTCAATATTTGGCCCTCTATGACTTTATATAACTTCAGTTTTTGGTCATTGTGGCTTAAGCTTCTGGGCACTGAAGTCCAAAACAAATAGCAAACTAAACACTGAGACTTGGTATTCTGAGCTGGCTCTCAAATTCTGGGATCTCTACAAATGGTTCTCTTTTCTTCTCTCCATTCCCTGGAATCCCACAGTGCTCAACTGGTGACATTGATTTTTTCAGTCTAGATTGATTTTTTTTAGTCTAGGGCTCTGAGAGAGGCTTCTAACTATAAGCAGCATTTCAGTGCATTGCAGTATAGGCCTCTCTAGGTGATTGTTTTGGATGTTGTTCTCACCGTCTCAGTCAGGGTTTGAGGAGACGCAAGAGCTCAACAGACTTTTAATGCCAAGGTACAGGGGAATTTGCTGATAGTTCAAATCAAGCCTGAACTATATCTGGAGGCAAACATGTTGAAACTGAGACTGTCCTGGGCACATCATGAGAAGGTAGGGTTCTCTGGAAAAGACTGCTGGGAAAGGTAGAAGGTGGCAGGAAAAGAGGAAGACGAAATACGGGATGGACTGACTCCCTAAAGGAAGCCACAGGCTTGGGTTTACAAGAGCTGAGCAGGTTGGTTGAGGAAGGGACATTTTGGAGATTGATCATTCAAAGGAGCACCATAGGTCAGAGGTGACCTGACATAACAACAACAACAACAACAAACAGAAAATCCCAGTATGTTCTGAATCAGATGCATTTTCATCTAATATGTTAATATTTCCCTAGGCCTTTCTGTAGTCATTTTGCTTTCAAAATGGTTTTCAATATATGGCATTCAGCTTGAGATGCCATGTCTTGTCATCATTATTGCTTTTTTGGCCCCTTTCTGATCATCTTGTTTATGCACCCGCTAAAGCTTAAAATTCTACTAGCAAACAATCCTCAGAAAGGTCCCTTTCTCTGTTCCAAACCCGCATTTGTCTTGAAGGAAGGAGAGAGCTTTTCTGTTGCCATTCCCATACTTGGAAACTGCAGCCTAGTAGCATTGCTTTTCTTCTTTAGGAAGGCTTGGGATGTCTTAGAAGCTGTAATGTACTATTGTGTTTTGTCATAATTGTCTCTGCTTCTGTTTTTTATCTTTTATTTGTAGGTTTGCTAAGTTGTTATCATATTTTATTATTTTTGCTGGCTCCCTTTCAGTACATACGAAAAGACCAGGGAGGGAGGGAGGGAGGGAGGGATGCTGTGTGCCACTAGTATGAACATCTTCTAATTTCAAAGTACAAATGCACATTTATGAACATTTTGTAAAAACTAGCTTTTAGAGGTGAACCAAGACCAGTGCTTCTTAAAGGTAGCATTTTCTTTCCTATTTCTAGGCTTGTAAATCAGAGATTGCTTGAAGTACAGTCCCAAGTTGAAGAGTTGCAGAAATCTTTACAGGAACAAGGCTCAAAAGCAGAAGATGTAAGTAGAGTAGACAAAAATACACGCGGTTTGGGTGTAACTGTGCCAAATGTTCAGATGCTTGCTGTTTTAATGTTAGTTGTATTAAATTTACTGCCAGATACCATTTCCTTCCATCATGAACATGTAAGAGTGGGGTTACCCAGTTTAGCCCTTTTTAGTGCTGAGCTGAGGTCCTCCCACCTTCCTGCCCCAGTGAAACCCAATAGGCTTTCCCAAGGAAAAATTAAATCTCACAGTCAGGACTCCAACATAGACTTGCCAGGAGTAATATCCAAGGGGTTAAATGGAAGGAAACTAAATTGATGGTGCAGATCACCATGATTGCCTTTTGGATTTAATTTATTGGGTGCAAAGACTTGTCCTTTACAATGCAAGATATTATGCAAGGTGTATTTCCTAGAATGCCTTGCCTTGCCGCAGTTTATGAGAAGAACCATTGGTTAACTTGGTAAAACAATTTCTGCTGCATGCACAGAAATGCATGATATGAAAGACCACTAATATAATTTATCTAATGAGGGAAAGGAGGGGAGAATATTATTTTGAGATCCTTCCTTTCCTTGGAGGAAAGTGGTTGTCACAGTTTAGGTCCACCATACATATCTAGAACTTCCAGAGTGTAAATGCTCTTTTTCAATACTTGAAAATAGTACGTATGAAAATGTTTTTTGCCTATAAGGTGTTCACTATTGATTG